CTGTTAGGCATTCAGTGTGGGATTAACTCCCTTTTTGTCATGCTGACAGCTTCTGAAAAATCCCACCCTTCAGTGTGAAAGGATATCAAATGTTATAGGGTGGATATAGTTGCATTGACATAAGGGTTTTCTGCTTTCTTCCTGGGTGTCTGTTAAGCCTTGCTGTACGTGCAGGATAGTACATGTGGAAATAGTAATTGCAAGCCCATTATTATTATTGCTATAATTTATTATTACTGTGTTTTTTATTTTATGGTGCCCACGTGTGCAGGTAATTCACAGAGAAGTACACTTACACCATTGGAAGGTGGGAAGGCTTAGTTAACTGCAGTAATTTGCACCCAGTTTTGATACCTGTTTCTACCATAAAACTTCCTCCCTTCAGACAAATCACTTTGGGGCAGCTTCGGACAGCCCTGTTGTACGGAACAGTGCTTTGGGAGTGATTCAGCCCTGGAAGAACCGTGCTGTTTGTTTTCAGCGAGGGGCAATTGGTTCAGACCCTCTTAAGTCTGTGTGCACCTGATCCTCTTCTATCCAGTGAAATAGCCTTACCACTCTGCAGTGGGGGGAGGGAGGGGTATGAGTAAGTCAAACTCTTAAACAGTTGTGAGTTGCTGACTGTGAGATAAGCCAGATATGAAGGCAGATAAATATCTGTTTCAAAGAGGTTACCGTCTAAATAGAAACTACGCAACAAATATGATTGTTTTCTATCTTACAATAACGACCGCAGTTCCTGCCTAATAACTGGTACTGGGGAAGGTTGACACGGCTTTAACGGCCTCGCTCTCGCAGGGTACGGGGATCTCTTATCTAGATATGGGGCCGAGGCTCCGGGTGCTGAATCAGTCGGTGGGTCCCACCTTTGTGAAGAGGATGACAGAACGGTGCTTGCACTACATCAGAAGTGCTCATCAAAAGGAGGTAGCTTGGGGCTGCATTCAGGCTGCCTGCCTTTGTGTCTAATAGATGAGGAAGACCAATTCAGATTACCAGTGAGCAGTGACCCTAAGCTGGGCTTATATGAGGAGGGCTGCAGCCAGAGTCCTGCCCAACCAAGGGGATCTGACCGTCAGTCCGTTGAATCAAATGTGAGTCGGTCGGTCAGTCTGTCGGAAGGGTATGGCCTTCCACGCAGTGAAATCGGAGCTGCTAAGGTGAATCTTTCCAACTTCCTCATGTAAGGCTGGCTTTTTACAGCTTTGCAATATGTCTGCAGGATGTTTTCATGAGCCGAATGTTTGCCAAAAGTTCACAGATCAGTTACAAAACAGATGTACTTTTTTTTTTTCCTCCCCTTCTTCCTACTGGTAAGGAAGAGTTTGTGCAGTAATTGCAGGCAGGTTGGGAGATGTTTTCTTCATAATTCTCCTTCTTATGAAATGTTTATGAAACACCTTCCACAAATTGGTTACGCAAGCAAGCTGAAGAGCTTTGATCATATTCCATCGCCCTCAATATGTTTCTTAGTTTGTTTTGCTTTTTGTTTTTGTTTGTAGGCCAGAGATAGGTAAGAAACAATCCATCCTTGGCCAGGCCCAGCAGACATGCTAGCCAACTAAGGAAAGGACTCTCTTTCCATCCAGTCACTCTTCCTGTGTTTTTCACTCTGATTGCTTGGGGGCAGCTGACCCTATTTTAAGGCCGTGAAAACATCCACTTGAGATTTGCAAGTGTGATTCCTTTCCTATCCTGGTGAAGCCCTAGGTAGCTCTACGTACCGTACGGGTGCCGCCACCTGCCGTTACCTCCTCGGGAGGAGCTCAAAGCTGCTCCCAGCCCTGCCCGGAGACTCCCCTCCAGCCCAAGGGGAAGAAGGTGCCTGTAGGTTCGCTCAGGCTCTGCACCTCTCCCTAGCTGTCAGTGAGCAGGATGTGTTTGCAGTCCATTACTTGGTCCTGCTGGTTTGCAAGTTTGTTTTTCCTTAGATGGTGTTATTTCCACAAATTAAATTCAAAGGGAAGAAACTTGGGTTTGCTCTCAATGAACTTTGGTTCCCCATTCCCCGTCTGGCCTGATCGTCATGTAAAACCAAGGTCCTGAGGAACCACAGTGGGATCTGGTCCTGGTTTGAACTAAATCACTGTTGCTCACTTGCAATGTTTTAGCAGGGTTCTCATCAAATACCTACATGAGGTGATTCTGTGATAATTTCAACCTTTTTTGGTTCCTTAAAGAAAACTTTTCTCATATTCATACAAAATGCCTGCAAATACGAGTCAGATGCACTGGGAAAGGAGAAGGCAACTCCTCCCCTTGTTTTCTTAATTTGAAATTTACATTATTTTAAGAGAGTCTCATGATATTGAGTGGCCTCGCCCACAATGTGTGTGGTTTTTTGGGGTTTTTGAGTTTGGTTTTTTTAATGTACAGTTGGTAATACTGCCGGTTTAGCCAGGGAAAAAATGAAAGTGCAGGATTTGCATAAACCATCCCAAAAGTTTTGGATATAGCCCGAACTCTCACTAATGAACAATTAGCCAGCTGCAGGCCTGTTGGGGAGAGGAAGAGGAGGGAGAGGTAAATTTGAGCCTAAACCCAATGAAAATAGGTGCAGGGGAGAAGGATTTGTCAAGAACACCCAGGTTCCCGCCCATTGCGCAGGAGGGAGCCAGAGAATTCCAGGGACGGGGGAAGGAGCAGTGGGAGATGTTGTTGTTTTTAAATCGGGAACCGGTCCTTTGCCAAACCCACCTCCCGTTCTCATATTGTGCGATGCCGGGATGCAGCTACACACCCCTTTCACCCTGGAATGCTTCCAAATCATTCCGCTTGGCAGCTGTAAAAATTGATTTCAGTTTGGAAATGGCTTGTGCTTCTTCAACACTCCACTCCTATTGGGATCATAACTTAGGCGGAATCTAGTGCCTTGTTCTCTAAGACGCGGATAACTTTTCTTTTTGGGACTGTTCAGACTTGAATGACTGCGTTGTGTGAGGCAGACACACATGAATTGCAAGCAGGGATAATTTATTTATTTTTTTAATTTATTTTTATTTTTTTGGCTTGGATGACTTTTTTCTTTAATGCACCCTCAGAAAGAAACACGTGCGTAAAACCATTTGCTTGCGGTGGCTGGATGGCTCAGGGGTAACGGTGTATTCTCCTGAGCCTTTTGTCTAACATTTAGTATCTTAGACACTATCCACATCGATAGTGATCAAGAAGATCTTTCCATCTGATTTTTTTCGCCAGGCTAAGAGGGATGATCATGCCAACCTGAAAGGTAGGAAAGAACTGGAATTCATAGCATGTATAACTCTTGTTGCAAGGAGCTAGTACTATTGCAAAACTAGTTTCGGCAGTGTCCAGAGCTATAGTTGTAATGAAAGGAGATGTTGTAATTCTCTTCCCTCTGCACAGCACTTTCCAAAATGCAGAGGTTACAGGGCCAGCTCCCTGCACTGCAGCTGCGAGCCTCTTGTGATCACATTTGCTCCTTTGCTCCTGTGGAGATTTGTGTATTTGTTTGCTTTAGTCGAATTGAAACAAAACCTCCCTCAACCAAAAATATTCGCTTGGGCCATTGTTTTTAAAAGCTGAATTTCTTGTCCCCCTCTGCTGGCAGGAGGTTGTATGACCTAAAGTCCACATCAGCACTGAAAAACCCCGGCAAACGCACCCCTGCTTGTCTTCTGGGGGATGTTCGGCTCAGCTGTAATTTCATGGGAGATGGTGAGGTTCAGCCCTAGTAGTAAGAGTGAATCTGCAATGCTGAGCCCGTGGACAGGGTTTTCAAGACCTGTCCTTTCTGGTGTCCTCCTGGTTTTTCCAGTTTGTGGAAACTGGAGCCGCTTCTTGCACTAGGAAGGCTCAGATGAGGAATGGGACTGATGATGTGAGCCTTCTTCCAGGCATTCTCACGCTTAGGAAAAACCTGAGCCTAAGTTTAGAAATAGTTTCCTTGGATCTTTTCTTAGAGAAAACATATTATAAGAGCTCTGTATGACTTCTCTGTGCATGGTATCTGCGCATAGACACTCCTCAGACGGCTTTCAGGAATTAACCTAAAAACTTCCCAAATCTCCCCAACCAGGTTCCCCTCTCTCCTGTCCCAGTCAGCCTTACCAAAGGATTTCAGCTCGTACAAAGTGATGTAACAGTTTTTGCTTTTTTTAATGTAGTAGCAATGTTAGAAATTAACATGGAGACTCTGGAATAAACCAGATGCAAGGATTCAGTTCTGGTCCCTGGGTAAATTCTTCTCTTAAGAATGTGGACTCGGAAGTCATGATTTTTTTGTAGACAGGAATCTTTCTTGAACATTAAAGTAGGTCAAAATGACCACTGGACAAAGGGATGACATCTGTGAAGTTTTCCATTTTTTTTCCCACAGTTTGTTCTAGCTAGGGACGCAGATTTTCCCTTGCCAGACCAGTACATTTCTTGTTGTTTTCTCATAGAAGCTGAGCAAATACATTTGGTGCCTGGGGTGCTGCATTTTAAAGTCTGGAAGATTACACTGCTTTTTGAGGTCTTTTACTTCATGACCTTTCCTTTCCCATCCCCTTGTACCATTCTCTGCTAGCTGCAGAACAAAATGAGAGGCCATCTATAGCCAACCCTGCCATCGGGTTGTGAGTCGTGATCTATAAAGGAGAATTGCTTCATGTCTTCCTTATAACTCCACAAAATGCCTCAGTGTTTTGTCCAAGGAAAGCACTCGCATGCTTTCAACTTTGCTAAGTCACTGGAACTTTGTTACTTCCTAAAGTGTTTTAGTTAATGTATTTTAATTGAGCAAACTGCAAGCCTCCCCTTGGCTTGGCAGAGCAGGAAAACTATGTCTGTGTTTATAAACTGGAGAGCAGACGTGGGGAATGACCAGGCCTTTGTGCAAAGCCAGGGATGGAAGCAGTGAGTCCTGACCTCTAACTTTTCTCCGAGAGGATCCCCTTCCCGATCCCTTCCAGCCTCTCAGACTCCTAGCTGCCCCACACCTCCTGCATCCCCTTGTCTCTGCTCCCTAATGCTACAATTACTTTGCTCCTTTTCAGATTAAAACTGAAGACCTCAGCGACTCCTTGCAATCTACAATCCCCCCTAGGTCAGGTCACCTTGTGCAGGGATCATCAATGATGCCCGGAAGCCAAATCGCAGGGGTAAGTGACTTTGCTGCTTCAGGGATCCAGAAGTCTGAAATGGCACTGGTTAGTGAACCTCCAGAGGAAAGGCTGGTTTTGAGACACTTGCCAAATTATGTATGCCTTTTGACAGGGGCAAAAGGAGACTTGAGGGTATGACGGACACTAAATTGGAAAAGTGAATCTGTGTTGACAAAAGTCAGCTTCCTCCTCAGCCTCTTTCTTTTCTGCAGAATGTTTTACATGGGTTCAAACATGTAAGTAAGTACTGGACATGTACTTGGATGAGATTTCCTTTGAGGGTTTACTATGTAGGCAAACCACACCATGCTCAGGAAATCCCTTGAACTGAAAATAATTGGGGGCTGAGACAGCACCAAGGGGAGGTGTTAGATATGCTTGCCCTGGTCTTCCTCTTTCTTGAACGTCTAGTTAATGCCATTGTTGGAGACAGTATTTTAGGCTACATTAACTCTTGATCTTAACCAGTATAGCCATCCTTGAATATGTTGCCTCAAACTGATTTACACCAGAGAAGAAATTAATTCCTTGAGGGAATTTTTTTTTCCTAAGGTAAAAAATCGGAGTTTAGCACTTAATTCTTGTTAAGTTGTGGGAGTTAGATGCCAGAAGGCCACAGCTGCTCAGTAATCTCTTCCCTCTTTCTTTCACGGGGTATTCAGATCCCTTACACAATTCAGTGACTGTTCAATTTCCCCAAAGCTTCAAAACAGTTCTTGAGAAGCTCAAAGAGCTCATCTTATTGAGTAATGAGTTCCTTTAAAAATGTACCTCTAAAGAGATTTGGTCTTATTAAGGTTGGTTTTTTTTTTTTGGTGTCTATCCCAGGCAAATGCAAACTCTTATCCCCTAATCCCAAAAAAGGACCTAGGCTGGGACCCCAGTAATGTGAAAAAGTGCTAGGATGTAATGCTCATCTCTCAGTACCTATTGCCTGCTCTGCTCAATGCACAGTGGGGAATTCCTGGCAGCTATGTGGCAAAGAAGAGGAAACATTTTTGGATCTGGTCACTGTGTCCATTGCAACGCATTTGCTGTTGGTGCAGAGAATTAAGCGCTGTTGGGCATTGCTTCTTTCCCATCTTGGCACGCGGCCGGCTGGGAAATCAGCGTTCTGTGGAATGTAGGCTCTCAGTGTTCATGAGATGGGGCAGTCAGCTGCACTTTCCTGTGTAATTTTTAGGGAGTTCACTCTCTGAAAATACATTATCTGGAAGAAACTGAAATCCAAGATGTTTCACTGTTACTTCTAACAACCAGGTTTTGATTGCCAGTGTCATTTTTCAAGAATTGACTTTTTTTTCAGATAAAAGTAGACAATTCTCTATGTGGATGTCTGTGTGTGCACAGAATTCTTCCCATACAGCTGAAGACTTCAGATCCTGGAGTACCTCTGGATCTGTAGCTCTCCAGTGCATGAATTACACAAATCCGGTGTGTTGGCAGTTAAATGAAAAGTGTGAACAGGGTCAAGGACAGTATAAAAGAGCAGGGAAGCTTTATAGGAGAGGTGGTGCTGTGTGAAGAGCAGACATCTCTGAGTTTTGTTGTTCCCTTTGCTTTTTCCCGTAGGATATGAGCTCTCTTCACACCCTGCAGCAGCTTGTATTGCTTCCTGGTCATATGCAGTCAGTTCCTCAGTTTCTTCTGTCCCAGTCTCAGGCCGGGCAACAAGGTAAGAACAATAAAAGCTGAAAGGGACATTGTTATAAGCAGATACATATCTAGGAAAAACCTGCTTCCTCGTGACTGTTGTCTTTAATTTGGTCTGTTACGTTTTCCCAGCATGATGGTGTTTGTTCCCTTGCTATGTTACCAGATGCATTTTCCCCTGCTCTTCCCCCTGTGCTGGCTCCCGCACCTGGGATGATCCCAGCAGTTGCTCCGGGTAGGGTCCAGTTCAGGAGGTGCTCCTGGCATCCGTGGCTTGCGTGCGCCACGAGTGCCACCTTGGGGCCAGTCTTTGCAGACCCGGTAGGGATCCCACCTCTGAAATTCAGGAGAGCATCTGGCTGGCTTTCGGCAAAACGGCAAGGAGCCTGCTCCTTGGGGAGCAGTTGCAGCCTGCCTGGGCTTCCAGCCTCGCTGGGTTAGCACTCTTCATTTCTTCCAGAAAACTGATGGGAGGTTGAGCTGATCTCTCGAAGTACCTTAGAGGAAGAGTAAATCCACGGAAGGAGCTGAGCTGCTCTGGTGGAAGGACGATGCTGGCACTAGCACAAACAGGTCTAACCTAGCCAGGAGCAACCCGGGGATGAGAGCTGAGAGGTTTGGAGTTGCCAGTGGTTGTTCCCAAATCTCGCTCCAAGCCACGGGTCAGGAGAGGACAGGAGGTCTAACTACTTCTGAAACAGAGTGTAATCAGCTTCGTGAAAGGGATGAAAGGACTGAGGCCTGAACCCAGTGCTTGAGAAAGTCCCTGTGCTTCTATTTTTACCACCAATATTTTTTATGGTGTTTCTCCAATGACAGGGATACAGGTATGGCATTGACGAAGTCTTATGCTGCTTGTGGATAGACAAACATAGGCTTTGATCCATAACCTGACAGATGCAAAGGGACTTGGGTCCTTTGCTCACATTCTTGATTTATTCCAGCACAGAGGTCCCTCCGTATGAATGAAAATTCAAAATTAAACCCTTAAAACCTCCGCAGCTTGAATGCAATAGTACATATGCTCCTAAAGGAAATTGTTATAGTGTAGGCAAGTAGGAAACCTACTTCTCATTGACAGTATATAAACTCTTCTCTCTGCCACATGATGCTGAGTGATGTAGGAAGAAACTACTTTATGCATGTTTAACAGTAATCTAAAATTTAGTTTGTTTGAAATGGCAGGGTCAGGACAATCTACTGCTTACTGTCTGCTTTTATTAATGTATAATAGGAAACACATTATACTGGAGAACAGAACTTGCTTCCTTCTGTAGAGTTAGAGTTTCTTCTGTTAAGTGATTTCCTTTGGCAGCTATAACACCTCCAACAGAAGGCCACTTGTTTGGCCATGACCCCTTTTGGTTCCAGACTTGATAAAGACTGGATATTCTGGTCAGTAGTCATTTTTTTGTGCAAAAGCACTTCCATTTGAATAGATGATTGCCAAGTTCAATGACCCTTTGCTGTGTGCTTGCACAACCACTGGGGAGTGAAAGTGAAGGCACAGATTGGTTTTCTGGAAGTAGTTGTTTGGTACATACACAGGTGGAGCATTCTTCATACCGAAGGGATGCACGAAATATTCCCGAAGTTTTCCCTCGGGCCGGCATGGGAACACCCTCGATGTTTCCTGAGTTCTGACCGATGGGTACATCAGTTCATGGATTTCATGGCCAAAGGGGCTTGGCTGTGGGCTTAACCTTTCCAAGAGGACACACGTTTTGGTTTGGGTTTAGTGTTTTAAAGCTGTTTTTAAGCCAGATAAGTTCCCAGGTCTGATTTATTATGCCCTGATGTGATTCACTGTGCAGCCTTTCAAACAGCTAATGCTGGCACACTTGAATAAGTGGGTGAGAGCTCTGTGCTGTAAAGGTGGAAAAAAAGCAGCCAGGTAGATGCTGGGAATATTGTGAGCCAAAATATTGCTGCTGAAGTCTTCATCTTACGAAAACACAGCCTCTGTCTCATCAGCTGTCAAACCGGAGATTCCTGAATCCAGTCCATAATTTTCATTTGAGCTAGAGCTTAGCTTTCGCAAAGGTGTTCAATCATGATTTTAAAGACTCCAAATGACAGAGCATCCGCCATGTCCCTAGGCAAGCCATTCCGGTGATTAATTACCTTCACTGTTAAAAATGTGCACCTCATTACCAGCCTGCATTTGAAATTCAAAGTTGTTCCAGCATTAGAGAAGGCTTATTGAAACACCAATCTAAATAAATAAATGGGATCCTGCACATTCAGATCTAAATTAAAAAAGGAAAGACAGAAGGAGAGAGAGGGTGGAGTGATTGATTCTGGAGATGATCTTTTTTCCTTTTGTTTTTAGCAGAAGTCCATAAATTTCTATAGTTTTCCCTATAATTGTCAGTTACAATCAATAGAATATATTGACTGTTTCAAGGAAGGTTATAAATCCTCACTAAATTCTATAGGCTTCACCCACAACAGACTTGAAGAACCTAACTAAATTTCTAGGGAATTACACTGCCTCGGTTGCTACTTAATCCTTTAAGACGTTCCCTGTAAGGGATATAGGCTCGTACTTGGCAGTTTGTCAACTAAACAATTACGCAGTCTCCATAAATACAAGTTTTTGTTAGTTTTATAGATTTCCCTTCTTTTTTCCTTTCATCATTTCATGTCAGTTTATATATTCCAAAAGAAATTCAATTTATTTGAAATACAGTAGGGTAGAAAAGAAAGGGTCAGATGGCTTCAAAATGATACTTCCAAATGAAATGTATAGTAGAAAGCAGAGTGGGTAGGCTCATGAGATTAACTGTAGGATCAGGATTTTTTTAACAAGATCAAGTGGCTGAAAGTTGGAGTCAAAAAAGCTTCTATTGGAAATAAGATGCACATTTTTTAACAGCTACAATGATTAAGCACTGGGAGAGATCACCACTAAGGATGGAATAAATTCTCTGCTGCTTGGCATCTAAAATTAAAGTTAGATGTCTATGTAAAATGTCTATGCCCTAGTTCAGCCTTAGGTTAATGAGCTACACACACTCATCGGTGGATGAGATATTCTACTTATATCATTATTGTAATAATCCCTTTCAGGCTAAAAAGCCATGAAAAGAACCTTTCCTTTTTCATAATCCAACTCAGAGCCATCTACACTTGTAATGGCTGAAATTCTCATATTTTGAACAAGAGCTAGCTGACATTTTCCACTCTGAGCTTCATGAGTCTTTCCTGTGCAGAGTGATGTTCAGCTGCCTAGGTGCTGATGAAGGAGCTGGTATGATCAGATGCCTCTCTTTTTTTCTCTCCTCAGCTTTGCAGCCAAACATCCTCTCCTTCCCTCAGCAACAGGGCAGCCTTCTCCTCTCCCAACCGGGACCCAGCTTGGCATCACAGGTAAGTTGCCTCAATGTTCAGTCCAATATACAGTCCTACCCTGAGAAGCACCCATCTACAAAAAGTGCTGCTTCATTAAGGGCAAATGGCAGAGAAAATTGTGTGCTTTTCTGTCAGTGTGGCTATGCATTTTTGTTGCTGTTTTAACAGGCTGTGGGCCGTTCTGGACTCCCTGGCTCATCGGTTGAACCCCACCTGGACGTACCCCAGCATTTGCAAGTGGCAAAGCACCTAACTCCATCAGGAGCATCTGAGGAACCCAGTGACCTGGAGGAGCTGGAAAAGTTTGCTAAGACTTTCAAACAAAGGCGAATCAAATTGGGGTTCACGCAGGTGAGCAGCCTTGTCCATGGGAAAGTTGGTGTCACTTGTGATGTGGACACGTTGGGCTGGGGGAGTTTGTGGCAAAGTGGTGGATGGAGGAAGGGCTGGATTAGGTACAGTTTGGCTTTCTTTGGAGCATCCCCTTCCAAACACATGAAGAGACAAACTCTTCCTAATACTTCATTACCATGACCTCATTATCTGCACCTTCGTCCATACACAAAGCCACAGGGGTGTGGGGCAGACTCCAGTGGGAAGAGAAGTCACTTTCTCTGGAAGGCAGGTCATGGAAACTAAGCTGCACCTATTCTGGAAGCTGCCTGAGAGGTGCTCTGACAGCAGGCAGCTGTGAGGATTTTTTTCTGAGCTCATGTTGTGATTTGGATCTTCTCTGACAGGGTGACGTTGGACTTGCCATGGGGAAGCTCTATGGCAACGATTTCAGCCAGACCACCATTTCCCGCTTCGAGGCTCTCAACCTAAGCTTCAAGAATATGTGCAAGCTCAAACCTCTGCTGGAGAAGTGGCTGAGTGACGCAGGTAGGTGACATTGCACGCACAAATGCCACCAGTCTTGGCCAGCACGTGAGACGATCCATCCAGAAACCTCCAATAAAAGCCAGGAAAATCAGAGCTGGACTTCTCAGATCTGTGGTTGGGCTGGTAACAGACTGCTTTCCCCTGTGGATCACACAGCAGGTTGCATAGCAGCTTAGATATCAAACCACATCTGTCCTTTCACTCTGGCAATACGGGATTCACATTGCAGTTGGTGTCTGGGGCAGCCCCTTCCTGCATCGGCTCTTGCTCTATTGCATGGTCTGGGGCAAATCACTGCGCTGGTCCATTCAGTCCCTCCCCATGTAAACTGGAAAGAGTAGGAAGTGACTTCTTCTGAAGTTCTCAGAGATTATTCTATGAGCAGTAATTAGCAAAGGAAGATATCACTGCAAGGGGAATCCCCAGTAGGACCAGTATTGGGCTGGTGTCCTCTGCTGGCTGCAAACCACTGTAGGAGTGGCATTAGTCTCATGTGCTTCACGCAGCCCTTCAGGAGTTGCATGTTTGACCACTTTATCTCAGGAGTTGTATTGGCTACATGAGACCTGATCCCAGTTGTGTAAGTCCACATCTTTAACTGTGTGAAATTAAATAATTGGAAAATGCATTGTCCCCATCAGAGCAGGCTGGAAATCAAGCTGGAAAAAAAGAAAAATAGTGTGTCGATTAAAATTTTAGCACTCATATTTCTTTCCTGATTCGGACAAGATCATTGATGGATTTGGGACTGTTGGAGCAATTTTAATCATCATTAGAGGAAGGATCCACAATGTAGGAACACTTTCCTTATCTTAGGAGGTGTCATAGTTCCCAGAAAGGATCTAGGAATGAAAATAACTCACTATTTTCTTGAATATCTGTCTTCCCCTCCCTCTTTCCCCAGAATCTGCTCCTTTGGATTCTTCAATGAGCACTCCCAATTCCTACCCCTCAGTGAATGAGATGTTTGGACGGAAAAGAAAGAAGCGAACCAGCATTGAGACCAACATTCGCTCCACACTGGAGAAAAGATTTCAAGATGTGAGGGGAAAATCCTTGAATGTGTTGTGAACTCTCTCCGAGTTTGGCATTTGCTTGGTCATAGTAGCACTGAATCCTCATAAAGAGAGATCTCTTTTTTTGTTCGCTTTGATAGCAGGTTAGAAAATGCTTGTAGGTGTTAATGGGACAAATGTCAAAAACAAAGAAATCGGACCCAATTATTTCCTTGGTAAATGTTGTTTTAAAGGAATTAGTTTCATCACCACACCTCCCCATTATCTTCCACTGATCGGTGCCCTAGCCAGAGCTGATGTCCTGCACCCACCTCTTCTCTTTGCGAGTTGCAGGCATGTGTCACGGGAACTGTGTGGCCATGGTGCAGCACAGAAACGGATGCCCCGTTAAGCAGGTCTTGGGAGACCACAGAACTAGTCGCTCCAGATATCGCTGCTGAATCATTTCAGAAGCGGAGCCTTTTGCTTTTTAAGCATTGAGATTTTTTAAGAAAAATCAGTACAGAGAGCAAAGAGAGCTTTAAATCAGTAGGACTGACTTGTCCATTGAAAATTTTTCATCAGAACTGTTTTTGACCGGCCCTCATTTTTTCTTCGTTTCTCCCTCATATCTGATCATATCAAAATTTCCTCCTGAGACTGTTAATGAGAAAAAAAGACGATCATTGTCAGGTCATTACGGGCACCTCATTTTTAGCTAGTAATGGACATTCTTTGTAATGGGAAAACTGTCTTGGCATCTCCGTGCTAGGTATTTTTGACCCTCAAGTCTTCAACTCAGATCAAAACCCATAGAGCTAAATGCTTTCAAATGCACCAGAAAATAAGTGATTCAGAAGAAAGGATAGATACTATTATTTCCCTTTATACATGAGGGATGGAGGAAGAAAGGGAAGAAATGGATCTTCTGAGATGGTGCAGGTAGGCGTACAAACAGCACTCAAAGCGTGTGTGTCCTGTGTAGGGATAAGAAGACCACCAGTCATTAGCTTCCCCCCAAGCAATGATTTAGGGTGCTGTTAAGATCAAAGAGCGTGGTGCTTTATGCAATAACAGGGCTAGGTAGTGTGACTCATCCCCCACTGATTCCATGAGACTTGATATTGAATCAGAGGCACTTTCTGCCTCACAGAACATAATCTCTCACCCAAATATTTACCCTTTGTCTTAGAAGCAAATTTTTCCCCTCCCCAGTTTACAGCCAACCCTACCCTTGTCCTCTGCCTTTCCAGCAGCAGAAGCATACGTTGATGCTGTAAGTTACGGCTCTTTGGGGCTTTCTTTAACCTCCTGCCTTTTCTCAGCAGAACCCCAAGCCCAGTTCAGAGGAGATATCCTTGATAGCAGAGCAGCTCTCCATGGAAAAAGAGGTGGTCCGGGTCTGGTTCTGCAACCGGCGCCAGAAGGAAAAACGGATCAGCTGCCCAATGCCATCCCCCATCAAATCACCTATCTACAATTCCAGACTGGTGAGAGACTTTGGATTAAGGAGTTCTACATACCATCCCAGAGAAGAAGGGAAAAGGATGGGGGGATGCAGCAGGGTCTGCTGGAAAAGGAAACAGGACAGGACATTTCCTGGTACACACAGGTCCCTGCGGTGCTGGCAAGTCCAGTGGGGGATTACACCTGCAGGAGTGTGCAGAGAGGCAGCTGGGCTAGCCACGGATTGGGCATATACTCAACATCCCAATTTGAATGGAATCTCATGCCTGCACTTACAGAACATTTATTTTTACTCTATTAATGAAAACAATAGAAAGAAAACACAAGTTTTCTCACAAGGAATAAATTCTCACAATACACAGGGTATAGGTCAGTTTAATTGTAAGGTAATTTATCCAAATAGGGGTGCTATCCCAAAACTTTTCACCCTGAGATTGGTAAATAAAAGCTTTCCAAAGTTAATGGAGGAGGAATCAGCATTCCATGGAATAAGAATTACATCCACTCATGTCAATTTATTTGTTAACTCTGAAACCTAATGGTAACCATTTACATATCAGTTTGTTGTTTTACATCTGTGCAGAAATGCAGAATACACTTCAGTAGTGATAACTGTCCTTCTTTCATGTTGCACATTCACATTTTGGCAAGCGTATTTTTATTGCCAGGAAGGATGAGGAAAAGAGAAACTGTTGTGAGAGCTGGTGAAAGCATATCCCTTGTAATCTACTGTCAGTGGCTACTGTGGATAACAGGCTACTATTGCATTTCTGCTAGTTAATAGTTGCTTAGTGGCTTCCACATATAAAAGTGGCAGGACCTTCCCTACGGTGTTGTTAGTGCTGGAGCACACATGAGTGGGAGGGAGAGTACGTATTTGCAAGCAGTATTTTATCTTGAAATCTTCCGGGTTTTGGAATTATCCATCAGGAGGCAGGAAAACATCACAAGAAGTTTGCTCACTTCTTGCACAACACATTTGGTCTAGAGTCACAAACACAAAATGCTGCTTGCAAGCCATGAGTTTTTAAAGCAGTAGCTTTGGTGAGTAGTTTTCCTGTGCAGGCATTGTACAAAGTATGCCTTTGCTCATCCGTCATTCTGAACAACGTGTTGCCTGTAGTTAAAGTATCATGGTTGAACAACAAATGCCCCAGGCTCGCTTTGATTGCAGCCACCAAATTACTAATTGTCACCTGAGAATTCTCACCCATCAAGAACTCCGTAAAGGAAAGGGGATTATTTGTGCCCAAGACCACAGTGAGCTGGGAAGTTTCAGACTAGGAACATCCAGTCCGAGACATCCAAAGGGCAGTGGCTTCTACCAGCTGAATCTTGGGACTTCCACAAAGTTTGGCTTATGTTTGATAATTTCAGGCTTTTCCATAGCTGGTCCATAAATTTAGGCCTGTGTAGAGAGTGTCAGGCACATGTAATACTCATTCTGGTTTCTTTCCATGGCCCTGAATATGGGAATGGTGCTTCTACCCTAGAGTATGAAGAGAAATATCTGTGGGAGCCTCAGATGTAGATAAGAAGTCTGCCTGGGAGCCAGCACACCCTAAAGGGAGTGTGAAAGGAGTGGTGTTTTGTGATCTATACCCTCCTAGAGCCAACCGCTTACTGTTTGCTTCTGTTTCTCTCCAGGTCTCTACCTCAGGGTCCTTGGGGCCCCTCTCCGTCAATCCAGTGCATAGCACCATGCCTGGGACTGGTAAGCCTTGAGAAACCTGCCTCACTCACCATTCCTTCCCTCCTTCCTCTGCTCTTGCTCTCTGACTACTTGGTTTCTACGTCACACTTGCAGGCCCCTCTTAATAAGACCCTTGGGTTTGCCCAGGGAAAGTGTCCCCACGTAACTAGTGTACAAGGGATAAGAACAGCAGAGTCTTTCTCTTGGCTCCAACAAAGACACGGAAAGCGTCCTGGACATGATAACATTCCCAGGATAATCCTAGGCAAATTTTACTGGGGTGTTTAGGTTTGGGAGCCAGGTGCACCTACAAGCCAAACAAGAGGAGCGCTTGGGGGTAGGTTACTGCATTTCTTCAGCAGAATACTGTCAGATCTCCTTAGAGGAGTGCAATTCACAGTAATAGAAACCAAGCACTACAGAGAGCGCCGTCCTGGAGACCCCCACCTTCTCTGCGGCTGGGGCACAGATCTGCCTGGCTGCTGCAGGGCAGGCAGTGAATCAGATGAACAACAGGATGGATACAAGATATGGTGGAAGTGTTTGGGCTTGGGCTGTCCTTGGCAGGACAAGGAGATCCCAGTCTTATTCTGCTTTCTCTGCTACACAGTAACATCATCGTGTTCCCCAGGGAACTCCAGCAGGCCCTCATCCCCTGGCAGTGCACTCCATGCCAGCAGCCCCGGCACAGCCCAGAGCAACTCCAAAGCTGCAATGAACTCATCCGGTTTCAACTCTTCAGGGTAAGGCAGTGGGGGCCCACAGCTTGCTCCTTGGCAAGGGCATTGGAGGGCTTAGGAGAGAAGCAATAGGACCTTAGAGAAGAATATGCAAGCCCTTAGAGACTCCGGCAGTGTGGAGATATGTGGTGGCATGTTCTTCTTGGGATATGGCTATTTTTCTACTTGAAGGCAAATAGTAAATCAAGTTTTGCCTGAAAAACTGTGCTGGATAAAAAAAAGGAGGAAAAAAAAAAAACCAACCACCAAAAACCTGAATAGAAACACTGGCCATAAGGACTGTCCTAAACTAACTCCTTGTGTGGAGGAAGCAGAGGAAGGCTTGTTTTGCTGTTTCTGCTTGGATAACCCCCTCCACAGCCAGTTTTCTCTCCTGCAGTGCCACCCAGAGAGCTCTGTGGCACAGTAACTATTCCACAGTGGTAGATGAAGCAAGAACAAAGATTTTCCTCTGCCCTGCCTTTAGATGCTACAAAAGCATTAAGCCACACATATGGGCTCAGAGCCCTCTGGTTATTTCACTGAACATGCCTCTGCCACAGTCTGTGCTGCTCAGGCTTCCCTGCACTTGTTTCTGCTACATCACATCAAGGATGCTGTGTTAGTAGGAAGGCAACAGAGAGCAGAGGGCGTTACCCATAGCTCCTGGGCTTTTCTGAGTCATGGGTCACCCTGTGCCGTGAATCAGACCTCCTCTTACATGGGGGAAGTCCAACAGCCAGGTAGTATGTGAAATCACGAGCACAATGGAAGATGTTGCTTAGAAAGACAGGGGTTTTGCTATGAGCTTCCTATAGGAGCAAAGGATCATTTGCTGGCTGCCCAGTCAAAGTAAGGTTTCAAATGGAATAGTAATGATTTTTATTTCAAGGGGAAACTGTTAACAACATGGCAAGTGTAGCTCTTATTCCCTGTGTTGCAAACAGATCTTGGTACCGATGGAATCAACCTACCTACCTCCACTGAGATGACTCCTCCATCATGTGTAAAAGGAGCTCTGACTTCTCGCTATGGACCAGCTTCTCTAGGAACAATGCTTGGGGCAACATCTGGCGTTCCAGTGCCTTCAAAATGCTGCCAAATGAAGGTCTTGTTTAAGGGAACCCATAGCAGCAGAACTCTCCAGGGACTCAAACTGCAGCTGACCTTCCCCAAGGATTCTCAACGCCAACAGTGACATTATAATACTCTTCCAGGCATTCACTTCAAGAATGAGCCCTTGCTTAGCACTCTTAGCATGAAACACTGCCCTCTGCTTGCAATCTCTGCATTCACACTGGATTGCCTGGCAATCTCTGATCTGGAAGGATTTCTATGCCAGGACCCTCTTTTCCCCTCACTCATTTCAGAGTTTCCTATAAGAAGGGTCTGTCATGCTGTTACTATCACGCACACATACCGTAAACCCCCAAACTGAGCCGAGGTTACCCAGTTCATTTCACCAGAGACCTGTATCTAGATGTGAGCCTTGGTTTTCAATAGACTTCCAAGGTTGATGGCACTGTGTTTTATCCACTACCAAACTTGCTTTGCTTTGAGCCATTCTGCTCTGTTTCTAAAGGTGCCTTTTTTTTCCTTTTTTCTTTCTTTTTTTTTTTTTTTTAATTAAGTATTTTAGAGCTTTCTTATTTTTTCCTTTTAAAAAAATTGTTGTCTTTTGCAAAATTTGTGTCTAGGTCTTGTTATTGTTCACAGCTGGCCTCACTGCCCCACTGGAGGACGTCACTGTTCGAAAACCTTGGCTTCTGACTCCATTGAACACAAAAGCAGTTTGTGTTGTTTTGATGGGACAAGGATTAGTCTTGACCTTCCCTTCTTTCTTTTATTCCTCTCTTGGGTTTTATGTGATACCAAACAAAAACAACCTCTCTGGTGTAGAGGTGTGCATGCGTTCTGGTCTTTCCTGAATTGTACGTAATGTAGCTTGCCTGTTCTCTGCAGCATGCTCTTCTGTTCTTGGGAGGACAAGTTGTATTGCTCAGGTGTGAATCTTGAGGTTTGTGTGTGCAAGTGTTTCTTAATTTCATGAGATGCCAAAGTGTAGGAAACTTCTGCTCTCACAGCATATCACCAGGGAAATTGTTGTTACTTTGCAACTCTCCACTTGAAAAGAGGTAGATATTTAATTTTGTTAAAGTAGACTTGAGTAATACAAATTCCTGGTCAGGTTGTCTATGGGTACAAGTAATTAATTCAGTGGAACGAGAGTAAATGAGTATCTGGTTCACAGATTGTAAATAGATATTTTTGAGTAGTAGTCTTTTTTTCTGATGGCTTTTTGTCACTTCTGGGGGAAAAAAAATATTTGATCTGTTGTTTCTTATCCTACTCACCCAGTTCTGTGATGAATTATTGCTATAGGGAGTCTGTGGACTTAAGAGTTTATCAGCTACCTGCACACAAAGTATTGAGCCCTACATGCACATTGTATATAGAACCGCATTTGTTGCTTTGAGTGAGGGTTTGTTACAGAAGCACTGATAGTAACGAGAGAGGACTGGAAAAGATAAGGTAACATTTCTTAAAAAATGGAAATTAAGAAAAATATTTCTTTTTTTAAAATACTAAAAAAAGTTTTTTCAAAATGTTCTAACACAAAAAAGGGAGAAACTGTATTTCTATTTCCTGGATTCCCCACCACCACTCATTTACCTCTAACTAAAACACTTTCATCGTATCTGTTTTTCAGTGGAAACATTAGAATTAAATGAAACTCTTTTTTTCAACAAAATCTGTTGTGGTTTAAAAAACATTTTATGCTGGGAAAGCAAGAAATGTAGGTGGGAAGTGTTAATCTAACTCTCCTGATTGCTATGGCCCTTCTTTCTGCCCTTAATTAAATTTTCTTACACGCTTGGAGGGTTGATTTCAAGCCTTGCTCTCCATTGCTTTCCAACTATATTTAGAGATGTGCAACAAATTATTTCGATATAATCATTCTACAGCTAAGCTGTGACAGGTTTGGTACAGCTGCGTGGGTGGGTTTTCTTGGCAGATTTCTTAAGGTTCCCATTACTGTCTCTAACAGGGTCTTCCCTGAGAGAACTGTCTTCTACAGCTAGAGTGACAGGAATTAAACGTGACAGCTTTTTCTACGGTGTGCCTTTGTCACAGGATTCTTGAGGAAAAAACAAATTCTCCTCCAGCCAAGAGAATGGTACTACAACAGTATTTTAAAACAACTGTGCTATGACAACTGCATTTAAACTCAGCTAGTTGTTCGCTGGGTCAGCTGCAGGGATGGATCACGCCAACACGCCCTCCCTGTGCAAACTTACCCCTGCCATTTCCCTCCATGGGATTGCTTGTCATGGCGGGCTCGCAAAATGAGCTACGGCAAGCTCCGCAGACACAGAGCAACACCTGCTCAGCTCCCCGCCAGCGCTGGCTCTGTCCGGCTGGAAAAGCCTGATGATCGCTGCCGAACACTAATAGTGGAAGGTCTCTAGAAATGAATGTGCTCATGTATACACAACCAGGGGCTGGTAACAGTTTTTATTTGCATGCAAGATCTTTGTTACTGGATAGAGAATTGGGGTTGATACTATATTTAGGTATTTTGCCCGATTCATTTCCATTAATTTCACGTAAGCAGCTGAGTTAAACTGGCTGGGAGGCTGGTGGGGTGAGACTAAGGGATCTGTACTAAATTGGTGGAGAGTAGGAGAAACAGGAATGAACAAATCAGCAGAAATTTGTTTTGCTTTTTAACTAAAACATGCTATAGTGTTTTGTTGGAAAGAAACCTTTCCAGAGATGCATTTCTCTCTTATCTGGTCTAAAAGATTAGAAAAATTATACTTTTACATGAAAATTTCAATTCTGTCATAGTTTAAAAAAAATCCATTCAGAAAACAAATCATTGACCTGTACTCATGTGCAGATAAAGTGTGTGGAAGGAGAATTTTCCTCTCCTGTCTCTGGCTGGGATGGCATAAACCCCACAGCATACTAAGACGAGCCCATGTACATTGACGACTCAATCATACCTGCCACGGCGGAACCCTGCCAAGTGCATTGCTATGGGCTTGTGCCCTTGGAGGAGTGATGCTGCAAGTCCTAAGGGAGAGGTGTCGGTGATAACTGGCAACTTCATAAGCCCTCCCTCAAGGAGCTGCCTTTCCTCCCAGGCCTTTCACTGACACACCTGACTCGAGCTCCCGTGAGGGCTGGCCGACACTGTGAGAGGAGGACGGAGGATGAAACAAACCCTCTTTTTTTGTGCCAGCCGGAGAAGTGATGTGCATGTGACTGTTCACTGAGTGTGCTGCAGCCCTATGAATAAAGTCAGCAGGATTTGGATTTTGACCAAACAGTCCTGGCCAGGGATGAAAAAGAGAGGTGGCTGGCTGTCCCTCTGTAATTATAAAGACCCCTTAAGAAGCTTCCAGCTTTTTAAGCAATAATTTTACAGTCCTTATTCAAAGCCAGTTCCATATGAAAAAGATGTTCAAGTGGCATGAAGGGATCTTGCTCCAGCCTCTCACTCCTAAGAAATATACCTTCTTAAAATTAATACTCTACCTAGTGGAAACAAGTGTATCACAGGATGGCATGCTGCTAAGACAGTGACACTCTCTCTCTTTTACTTTTTTCCTTTTCCCTTTTTTTAAAAAACATTTTTGGCTATTATGAATATTCAAAATTAGCAGATAGGAAGAATGAATTTAAATCACCAGTCCGAACCTTTGGGACACCCTATCTCATCCTGCTTCCTGCATGACCTTGGACAAATGACTTAGTCCCCATTAGGCCATGGTGATGATAACCCTTCCCTTCTCCCAGTCCTCAACTTGTGCTAAATAGCATAGCTCACGAATGATGAACGTTACAGCTGATTCTGCTGCCGGCCATCATAGAAGACATTTATTACACTGACCCTCAGCAAAGATCTAGTTTCCAGCTCGCTTCTATTGTGAAAAATCTTGAGTTATTTCATAGATTATAAGCAATTATTTAAAAGCTCAGAAGTGACCGCTCTGATTGCCTTTATAACCCTAGCCTGCAAATTTTACCCAGTAATTCCTGCATTAATCCTATACCTAGTAGCTAAGCTGCACCTTTGCTACTGATTTCAGAGTCAGTTGACAGTCTACTTAAACACTTGGTAAAGGCTCCCAGAAGTTTGTGAGCCTCTTGGTCAAAAGAGACCAAAAATAATGTTGTGAAAGGCAGGTAACTAGTTACAATAATGTATTTACAAGTTATTGTACATGTATACAGTCTTATACTATGGAGAGGATACATCAAGATCAAAATCTGGCTCTGAACTGACAAGGGCTGTTCCACTTAATTTGCAGAAATTCCTCTAAGGAATTTGCTCCCATAAAAGCAGCACTGCATACATTTTGGAGTATTATTTCTGAAAGCTGGGAGGGAAATTACAAATGTTTTAAATGCTGAATAAGGGTATGTGCACATTAGTATTGCAGCTGAGATCAAAGCCAAGCTGTGCCAGGTGTTGTGCAAACACATCACCAGAGCTGATCTCCACTGAAAAGTTTATAAACACAATAAGGAGTCAGTCAGATTTATTGATAAACTGGTCCTGAATAGGAAAACAAACTCTAGCAGCTTGTTTGTTTCACCAAAAGCTACAGTTGGAAGGGAAAGATCTTCATTCCCCTGTCTTCTAGAAATACTTCCAGTCTCACAGGAGCATCTAAGGAATTAAAAATATACGGAGCAGGAAATTCCAGCTTTCCAAGACTAGGAGCCACCTCCCGCAGCCATAGATAAACAATGAGGGAACACTTGCTCCCAAGCAGATGTGCCTCACAGTGGCTATAAGAACGCACATCATCCTGAACAACCCCATCTGCTACCAAAGCAGCCCTTGTGCCTGAACAGTCTCCACTCTCTCTGTCCCTACTCTTCTCTTGAGGAGAAGAGCTCCTCTGCTCCTCCACGGCTAGGACTCAAGCGTCAGTGACGTGAACCCCAGGTGCGAGTGAAGAGCCAGCTGACAGCTGAGTCTCTGTCTAAAAACACCTCTGTGGGGCCCATCCCTGTCACTTGTGAGTATAAGGGGTGTAACCCCATTCATCTTTTATTTTTATCTGTGGTCTGGTCATTCACAAGCACTCTGCAGAAATGAGCCAGATCCCACTCAGCTCCAAAATCAAATCAAGGACATGGTATGCCTTTGGAAGTCACGGTCTGTCTGTAGGCAGACCTCTCTCTCTAGTTCCTGCTCTTCTCAGCCAGAGACAACTGAACTGGCATCCTCAGAATATAAAAACGGACAAATGCTCCTCACTTTCCTCTCTGTTGACAGATGCTGGAGCGCATATAGGAGATGCACTCCTGTTAATGACTGACATCAAGGGTGACTTTTCCACTTAACTTCTGTAGCAGCTGCAGAGCTCTAAGCGAGAATGCAGAGCAGGGAGGAGGTGCGGTACCTGATACAGCCATGATGTTTAGCAGTGCCCAAGTTCAAGCAAGACTGGGAAGGGCTGGAAAATTAACAGTACGCTGTTGGTATTTAATTTCTTTTATTGTTCATTCTCCTTTCTTTCCTCCTCTGCTTTCCACCTGTGAGAAGAGTGAGTGCTCTGTTCCTTGCCCTTCCCAGTTTTCCCTGTGGCCTGAAGGGAGACTTTGAGCATTTCTAAGTGTCCAAATGATCCCATCAAGTGCCCTCATCATTCCTGATGCTCACAGCCTTGGGACTTACAGTCCTAACGGTAAGCATAGAATTAGCATAGATCCTAACACTCTAATACAATGCCTTCAGTAGCTGAGCTTAAATTCAGGCTCACCTTTGCAGATGCCAGCAGGGACCAGTGTCCAAGCTGCAGTGGGACCCCCTTTCTCTGTGCCGGGGGTCCCCACCCGCATAGCTTGTGGGCTTGCTTCAGAGTGGGGGCCAAAATGCTGGCAAAGGAGAGAAAAATCAGGAAGTTTTATCTCAAATATAAGAGCAACCTATAATCTACAATCCAACTAGAAGCATATTTTAATGTGTTACCAGAGCTTTTACAGCACAGAGGACTTCCTATGGAGTGCAGCACACACACCAGACCTAAGTGACCACAGGTGAGGCCTCTCGTGCTCTGAGTGATTGGTTTCACCCCCAGCACAGGGCTCTTTGGCTGTGGGGAAGGTTTGGGTTGTTTGGGACACAGAATCTCCTTTAGACAGTTTTTAAAGCAAATGGAATAAACAGAAATGAGATGGTACTGACGCCAAGTTTGCTGTCAGGGCTTGGAGGAAGCACAGCCCTTTCCTGGTTACTCACTCCTGCCTCTGCCTGGCCCTGGTGCTCGGCCCCAGCTCAGCTCCTCGCTCGCTCATCCTGTTCTGCGTGCTCTGTGTCACATCTCCCTGCGCATCCCGCACCACTCCCCAGCTCTGGACCTAAGCGGTCCCAAACTCAGCGACACCCGTCGCAGCCTCCCCTCCTTGCAGTCAGCACAGGACAGCACAAAGGTGGTCACTGCCAGCCCACCCACCCGGCCTCTGCTTTCAAAACCAGGCACAAAACTTGAAAGAGGACACCAGGCCACTTTTTTAAAAAACAACAACAAGGATAAAAGCATCTCCCCTCTTGCCTGATCCAGCTTTATTCTCCACTTTATTCTCCTTCATCAGAGGAAAACATTCAGCCTAACTGAAGTCTGGGGACCCTGTGAGACTCACAGCCGGGAGGGCTGAGGCTGGATGGGGGTGCCAGCCCGGCTGACACACTCCGAACGCCTGTCCTTACTTCCCCTCCCGTTCCCCCCTCCCCCGGCAGCAGGGCCCTCTCCCTGCCCCGGGGCACACAGCTCTGCTGCTGGGATCCCTTTTCGCCTCCGGGGCAGGTAAGCGGGGCAGAGCAAACGGGGATGGGGATGGGGATGGGGATGGGGATGGGGAGCGGAGCGGCAGGAGGAGCATCCTCCGGCGGCGCCGAGAGCTGGGGCGGGGGAAAGACCCTCCCGGCAGGAGCTGCCCCGGCCGGCGGGGGGAGGGGAAGGGAGGGGGGGG